CTGTGAGTCCGAGGCCAGCCTCGTCTATAAGAGCTAGTTCTGGGACAGGCACAAAAGCTACACAGAAACCTTTTCTCAAAACAATAACAACAACAAAATACCCGAGACCCTCAAGGTAATCAATGGCATGTTTCTCCTACAAATATTCTACTGAAAAGTAGTTTCTAGAATGAGTTCTTGCACTAAAAGATTTTATAACTTTTATCTTCTACTGTATTTATGACATAGGAAGATGAAATTACTAGCACTCTAATAGCAAAGCCAGTGAACAAAATATTTGTTTAAGCTAAAATTAGAGTGATTTTATTGAACTCTAATGCAGAGAGGAACATATGCTATTTTCTTTCACATCCATTTCAGTTTAATAACCTGCATTTTTCATCTTACAACATCAACTGTAATGTTGTGTCTTTGGGATGATGATTTTAGAGAAATATGATAGCAATACTTTTTCTTAGCTAACTATTAATTTCATGTATTTTGGGAGATAATTCTAAGTGAGTTTTAAACTTAAAATTTGTTGCTGGCAAGTAGGACACAGCTTCCCACTTTTAGCTAATAAGAAAAAAAATATCCCCCAAATCAATAGGAGATTGGATGTATAGCATTCACTATAAATAACATAACTCTACAGAAGAGGACCTACTCATTTGATCCTTTAATACTAGGAGAATCATTGAAATTCAGGAATTTCTCTCCCAAGCACAAAGAACTACCAAGAAAAGCCTTGAGGTGCTACTCCCTAACATATTGTTTAGGTATGGAAATGACAAATAAGAAGTTATGGATATTTAGTCCTTTAAAAACCATAAAGGTTTTAGAACAATGAACATGAGTGTAAACGTGTTTGGACAAAAACTTTAAGAGAATGAAGCATGCAAAAAAAATTTGTTTCATTATTATAGCTCACAAAAGTTAGGCTGCTATACATCCCGAAAGTTGAAAGTAGGGTCAACAGAGAACCCTGAAAGCTAGATACCACATTGGAAAAATCAAAGTCACAGGCAAGTGGCATGAATTTAAAGAAGAAACTATCTTTAATGAGGAGTTTAGAAGATAGTCTATCGTGGTGACATATAATCGTGGTAACGCAGAACCAGAAATAAGACTGACAGTCCTTTATGAATGGCACTCAGTGGATCTGACTAAGTGACCAAAGAGACAGAATGACTACCGTCCACATCTAGAGGCAAATCTCTCAAATATTTAAACCCATCAAAAGGAAGAAAAAGCTAGTTGGGTTATTGGAAGTGGTTTTGGCAATCAGTCAAGGCAGAGGAACCATTATAAGGGTGTAGATTTAGATCCTAGAGTCTCTAAGACTATGGTCCTCTTCAGCCTTAGAGAGATCAATACACAAGATAAATTACACAGCTGTCTTCTGTCTTCCTACTGTGCCATATTCAACCAGTAATATTTGGAATCAAATTTTGTCCCTCACAAAAATGTTCCCAATAACCCCAGAAAACTTCTTGGAAAGGCTTCCTAACATGCAATGCCCAGGCAGCATGAGAGATGGACTAAATGACAAGAAAGGTGTTAGAATTCCTGAGAGACATCTCCCATGTCTTTAAGAACAAGTCATATAGAGTTTTCCAAGAAAATATAATTAATCATTTTTTCTGTGCACTCTCTGAACCCAAAGAAGACCTGTCAATCTTGTCTCTCTCTGGGCAAAGTTACTAAAGTATGGCTCTTATTAATAACTTTGGCAAACTGCTCATCATCTAAATCAGAAATGTAAACTAGTGCCTTCACATAGATCTTCATAATTTTAGAAATTTCTGCTCTTCCAAAGAAGTCAACCTTTTAAGCCTCATCTCATCAAGGAGAAGGCCAGGATGACAGAATGGGCATTGTCAGCCTAAGATCTTAAACTAAAAGTCTGTAGCATTGGCGTTAGTGCCTGGGTGACAGTCATTCCCATTGTGTCTGAGAATCTACCCACCTGCAGGCTGGCAGAGAAATTGGAATCTATTTGTCAGAGCTATTTGAGTTCTTAAAGGCGAGAAAGCGCTAGACAAAGGCCGTTGTTTACAGGCTGTCTATATTCAACAAAGGGATCCTATGAGATGGTGTTGCCAAACACCACATTATTCTCAATCCTAGCAACTTCATTTCAAGGTTATTATTGGTTGAAACTGAAAGGCGTCATTTGGCCAATGGCAACCACGGCACTCCCTTGTGACAGGGGAAGCCCATTTCAAGCTTGAGTTGCCCCCGGTTTCCAACATTTATAGTGCATTTCAGTTACTCATCTCATAGGCAACCTAACCATACCAAAACAATAAATAAATAAATGTCAAGAATAGTCAGCAACCTTCTCCAATCTCAAGAAAGAAATAAACAAACCAATAAATAAAAATTATCCACCTTTCCCACTTCCATGTTAAAAAGATGCACTTCTGTTGTTATGAACAAACATATCCCAATCTTTCAGGGCCCCATTTTCCTGATTTTAACATTTACTATTTTAGCTCATTGTGAACCAACATGTCATCAGAAGAAAGGGTGAATGTGTTTGAGGGAATAGCAGAAGAAAAATAAAAAGTTATTCTAATTCAACAGGTATTGATTGCCTACTAAATGTATGTAAGACTCAATGTGCAAAGTGTATGTTAAAAATAATTGACTTGTCATCTACATGTATACAATCATCTATGTCATATATCTGAAGACATAAAAGAAAAATTTAAGTTGTTATTAGAATAATAAACAGACATAATATTTGGGATGAGGAGCAAATGCCTTATTTACTCATCCATTCATTTTTTTCATCCCATTCCTATGTCTTTATCAAATGTCTACATTTGCATACAGGGAATGCCAAACTAAGTAAGATCATCCTTAGCCTGGACCAGTGCATAGAAGCTTCCCAAACTTCAGTGTGCACCAGAATATCTTGATGAGTGTGTTTAAAATCAGGGCACGGGCCCCAAGGTCAGGGGTTCTCATTCAGATGTACTGGAAGGCTTGATTCCCAGCACAGTCCCAGTAGCACGTTCTGCTACTGCTGTCTGGGACAGCACTCATGTCTAGGATGTTAGAGCAATGCTTCTCAAGTTGAGCTGCTTGCCAGTGACATGTAGCATTTGTTAAAAACCAAAGTCATGGAGATTACAGAAGATGGCCTGCAACAGCAAGGGAAATTAATCAACACCATCAAAAAAGTTGGGTGACAGCCGCAAGGGCTCTCCTTTCAAGAGCAAAGTGAAGTGAGACCCAATACAAGGCAGAACATGAAAAGTCCAGAGTCTGTGCTATAAAAATGACCAGAATCGGAGGAGCTTCCCCTTGTGGGATGACCGAGTCACTGCAAAGAACCTCAGAAAGTCACTGATTCACTCCTAGAAATAGACATTATCAAGGCCAAAAAAGAAAGAAAGAAAGAAAGAAAGAAAGAAAGAAAGGAAGGAAGGAAGGAAGGAAGGAAGGAAGGAAGGAAGGAAGAAAGAGAAACAAAGGAAAGAGAAAGGTTGTGCATTGTTGGGGAACAACAGAAGAAGAGAGGGGGAATGCCAGAAAAGACGCTCAGGACTGCAAAAGCATCATGGCCAGGCGGTTTTTAAAGAGTCCCTGCAGAGTGCATAGGTAGCGGTTATTGTCCCAGAGCCTCTGTGAACCCCAATCATGGGAAACACACAGCAAGTATGGCAGGATGCTTTGCTAAAACCCAGCCAGAAAAGTACCACAAGACAGAGACAGACACAGGTTAGAACTGAATAATATTTAACTAGTTGTTTGAAGTTTCCTGACCGACATTTTAGTGTTCTCAAGTGACTGTATCATCTTATTCTTTTTGAAAGCCATTACTGCAGGTTTTTGAAAGAATCATGTTCCCTTGCTTTTCATGTTTCTTATGTTTTTACTTTAAGATGCGTGAATCTTTATTTGTACATGAACATGATCATTGGTTGAGTTTTTAAATCATTCTCTCTCTCTCTCTCTCCCTCCCTCCCTCCCTCCCTCCCTCCCTCTCTCTCTCTCTCTCTCTCTCTCTCTCTCTCTCTCTCTCTCTCTCTCTCTCTCCAGAGTGCTGGGATCAAAGGCATGCACCACCATTACCTGGCTTCATCATACTTATTTACACTGCTTAAGATGGGCAAGGCTCTAATAGGACTGAGATGGGGATTGTTTCTCCTTGACTGGGCATCTATCTCATAGTTAAATCCACCAAGTTTGGTCTCCATTACTCCCCTAGAACAGTATCAACAAAACAATTGCTATCAAAGGGTAAAGTCAATATGAAAATATAGTAATAATTTTTAAGAATCACCCTTTAAGTGTCATTATTTTAGGTAGTAAAGGAATAACAATGCCATTGTGTGAACTGTATTTAAAGTCAGTGTTTGTTTGAATGGAAAGGAAAGTCAGAGAAAACCTAATGAATTGTCTTGGATCTATACAGCAAAAGCAGAGAATGGAACAATGAATAAAGGGGAAAATACAGGCAGGCAGTGCAGCAGCTCTGCCTAAAGAAAGACAGCTTCAAAAATGATGTAAATTTAACATTTTAAAGTAGAATTCAATAATGAGAAAGAAACAATGACTAAAAAAAAAGACAAATTAAAAATTTGAAAGTTTAATGTGTCAAACAATGGGCTCCTGGGGAGCCACCCACATAGACTGGATCAAAGAGAGAACAAGACAGGAAAGGTAGATGAGTCGTTGCAGTTATACAATGCAAAGTTAATATGTAAGCAAGAAGAGAACATATATGATCTATACTATGCTATGAAAAGGCAAAACCTGTGACCAATGGAAATAGAAAAAGGAGCATTTTAAGCTAAGGGCGGAAATTCTCCAAAGACAAGAAAGAGATGCCCATCTAAATAAAGGAGGCATTTTGCATATGAAACAGATAAGACCAGAAAACATTTTCCTCATATCATAATACAATTAAAAATACAAAATATACAGAAGAAAGGAAGCATATTGAGTGCCATGAAAGAAAAACATCAAGTCACATAAAAATTGGCAAGTCCAACAGAAACTTTAAAACCCATCAAGCTTCCCATCAGATCTTGACGCTGGTCTTGGTGGTCGTAAAGGAGGAAGAGCAGATAGAAGCCAGCCTCATGACAATATAGTCTGCTATAGAGCATTGGGTCAGATTCATACATGCCTTATAAAAATAAAATAAAAATAAACCCATCAAGCCTTGGAATGTTATATCTCATATTCTGAAAGTTAGTAACTACCAACCCACATGACTAAATACAGAAAGTCTATCTTTCATAATGAAAGAAGTAAACATTCCCATGCTAAAAATCAGTTAAAGACACTTGTGATTACTATAACAGCTCTAGACATAAGCCCCAGAGAAAGAATCCTTCAGTCTGAGATCAGTACACCAAGGAGACCACGGAAAGGAGAAGACAATGTTAGAAAGTTCGCAAAGAAGGAATAAGAAAATACCAAACACTATACAATCAGGAAAATCATAGAAATAAATATGTATTTACCACAATAATCCTAAATATTAATGATCTCCACATAGCAATCAACAGACACAGACGAGCAGTTCAGATTAAAGCACAGAGTACAGCCATGCGCTGTCTCTAAGAAACCCATCACACCATCAAAGACAGATGCAAGCTTAGAATGAAATGATACAAAAAGTACTCCAAGGGCGTGGATCCAGGAAACAAAACAGATGCCTTCTAGCATCTGGTAAACTTCCCTTCATGCCAACGTTAGTGGAGATGAAAATTTAGTGATCAATACATCAAGAAGATATTACAATTCTAAACATATAAACACTGAACATGGGTGTACCAGCTTCCTAAAATAAGCACCATTCTATATAAAGGCATGGATTAATCTGCCATAACAATATTGCTGACCACAATGCCTGATTTTTAGTAATTGACAGGCCTTCTTAACCACTGCCACCACTGACAATAATGACAGATTAAACTAAGTTAAAAATACAGAAGAAAAATAGGGACATATTGAGTTAAATTATATCATAGATTAAATAGACCTACCAGATGACAGTTCATCAAAACACATTTTTCTCCACAAGTCATAGAACTTTTTGTAAAAGAAATCATATAACCATGCACAAAATAAATCTTGAATGCAGTAAAACTGAAATAATTTCCTGTGTTCTACCTGACCACAGTGGAATAAAACTATAAATCAACAGAGGAGGAATTACAGAATATACAGGAAGTCATAGGAATGAAATAACACACTACAAGATGATGCAAAGGTCAAAGAATTCAAGAAGTCAATGAGAACAGATCCCTAGAATGTAAAGAAAATAAAAAAGCAATATATAAAATACAATAAAAACAGATCTGAGAAAGGTGCTTATAGACATAAGTGCTTTTATTAAAAAAAATCTGAGCAACCTTAAATAATAACTATGTACCCTAGGGTCTTGGACAAATAAGAACTAACCAAATCCCAAGTCAGTAGACAGAAACAAATAATTAAAACCAATGCAACATTAATGAAATAGAAACAAAAAACAAATACCCAAACAAACAAATCCACAAAGCTTAAGAGGAAAAAAAAAAAAGAACTGTTGTTGGTTTTGTTTTTAATAAGACTGGCAAACCCTTAGCCAAACTTAGAGGAAGAGACTTCTCAACCAAATTAGTAATGGAAGGGGAAACATTATAAAACATATCAGTGGACTTTAGAAAATTGTTAGGGCATACCCTAAAATCTTTGATTCCACTCACCTGGAAAAGCCTGAAAGAAATGGTTGTGTTTCTAAATGCATATCAAAATTAAAGCAACATGAGATAAACAACTTAAACAGATCTAAAACAAGGAACATGATTGAAGTAGTGATAAAAATAATCTGCCAACTAAAAATGCCCAGGCCCAGATGCGTTATTGCAGAATGCTCCCTAGCATGCAAAGAAATTCTTCTCAAATTATTCCATAAAATAAAGACAACAGAATGTCGCTGAAAGAACTCTTTTATGAAGACTTGGTGCTAAAAGCAGATAAAGCCACACAAAGATGAAAATTATAGGTCAATTTCTTGTATGAATATAAATAAAAAAATTCTTAATAAAATAGTTTTGAACTGAGCTCAAGAACACATCCAAAAGATGATTCACACAATGAAAAATTAAACTTTTGCAAATCTATAAATGTAATCTTTCATGTAAGTGGACTAAAAGACAGCAGTCGTATAACACCTTAACAGGTGTGGAGAATGTTATGACGAAATCAATATACCTTCACAGAAAGAGCACCAAGAAACTAGCCATAGGACATGTGTCTTAACTCAAAGGCTTCATACAACACAGCTCTAACCAAAATGATAACAATTGAAGGAAAGCTCAGAAGATTTCCACTGAATCCTAGAATAAGTCAGCATCCCTGTTCTCTTTACCAGAATAGTGCTTGGTGTCTTGGCCAAAGCAGGATTCCTGAGAGGGAAATGAAAGGGAAAGAAAGGAGCCAGAGAATCCAAATTTGAGACTGATGCAATTATCTACCTTAGGGGTTCTCGCCAAAACTAGAAAACTTGTACATCTGGTAAACACTTTCAGCAAAGTGGCATGATACTAAAAGCATATGCAAGTCTTTACGTCAATAACAACTTGGTGGAGAAAGAAATCAGAACTGCAATCTCATTCCTATTTCTTAGCCAGAGAAAACTGTCTTTGGGAGAACATAACCAAGAAAATTATGAACTCTACAATGAAAACTTTATTTCCTATTCCCAGAGAGATTCAAGTGTCTCCCCTTGAAGCCCTTTGCTACCTAGTCTCCCTGGGTCTGGGACTGTAGCAAGGTTGTCCTTTATTTTACAGCTAATGCCCACTTATGAGTGAGGACTTACGTTTGTCTGTTTGGGTCTGGGTTACCTCACTCAGAATGATTTTTTCAAGTTCCACCCAGTTTTGTGAGTGGACTAAGAGTGGGAAGAATGGGAACGCAATCAGGTTGGGGGGGGGGTGGAGTACTAAAAGAGATGACAGGAAGGGGGCGCGTTTCAGAGTCAGGTAGAACCCTGCTACAATGGATATCCCAGGAATCTACAAGGACTACCTCAGTGAAGACTCCTAGCAATAGTGGATATATAGCCTGAACTGGCCATTTTCTGTGACCAGGCAAGACTTCCACTATTGGGACACTAACCCAGCCATATAACCTTCAACCTGCCAATGGGATGTTCTGGGGTAAGTGTGGCTTGATGTGGTCAACCAATGACTGGTCTAAACCAAGACCCACGTCATGAGAGTAAGCCAACCGCTGAAACTGCCTGGGGCATCAGGACCTACAGGCTGGATGACCCAGAGTCCTAGAATAGAACCAAATACAGCTGGAGAAAAAAATATGTCTATGTAATAGTGCATAATAATATTCTGCTATACTAATAGAGTAGTGTTTAGCCCAATTGTCATCAGAAAGGCTTTATCCAGGAACTAATGGAAATAGAGATAGAAATCCCCAGCCAGATATTAAGCTGAGCTTGGGGAATCCTGCTGAATAGAGGGAGAAAAGATTGTAGGAATCAGAGGGGCCAAGAATATCACAAGAACAAAAACACAGAATCAACTAACCTGGCCTCATAGCGGATCACAGACTGAATCAACAACCAGGGAGCCTGACCTAGGTCCTCTGCATAATATGGGATAGTTGAGTAGTTTGGTTTTCTTGTGGGACTCCTAGCAGTGGGAGCAGAGGGTCGCTGACTCTTTTTCTTCTTTGGGGATCCTACTCCTCATACTGGGTCACCTCACCAAGCCTTAATACAAGGGGAGGTCCTCAGTCTTACTGCAACTTGATGTATCATGTTTTGTTGATATCCATGGGAGGCCTGCCTTTTCTAAATAGAAATGGAGCAGGAGTGGAGGGGAGGAGGAGTAGAGTGGACAGACTGGGAGGAGGAGAGGGGAAATTGTGGTCAGATTATTAAATAAAGTTAAATAAAATTTCCATAACCTCAGAAAAATACTAAAGAAAACTTCAAAACACTGAAGATATTGAACAAAACTATAGAAGACAGAAGGGCTTCTGATTGGAATAATTAACATTGTATAAATGGCTGCATTGAAAAATCTATAATCTGTAGATAAAATGCTTTCCCCATAAAATACCCAAATTGAGAAAAAAACCTTAAAATTCATGTAGAAGCTTAGAAGGCCACAGACACCCAAAACAAAACTGAGCAAAAAGAATGCTTGAGGTAGAACCTTACCGGATTACATATTTTACTATCAAGCCATATAAATAAAACAGCACATAAAGGCACAAATCAAGACACCAAATCAATGGGATGGAACAAAGAATCCAGGTAACCATTCACACAACTGCAGTTGCTGTATTTTTGACAAAAACACTATAACCTTTTTTGTAGCTGTGAAAAAATATCCAACCACAGCAAATTAAGCAAAGAAAAGACTATTTGGACTCCTAATGTGAAGGTACAGTTCAGGGTGTAAGGGAAGCACAGTAGCATAGCATGACATGACTCAGCACATCGTGTCCAAGTCAAGAGAAGAAAGAGAAAGGGAGAGAGGAATTCCGGCTTTCCATTCTCTCCTTTTTATCCTGTCTGGGAACCCAGCCCATGGAATTGTGTCGCCTGCACTTAGGATGGGTCTTCCCACCTCATTGAACGCTCTGAAAAATCCCTCATAGACGTTCCCAGAAGTTTGTCTCCTAGGTGGCTCTAGATCCCGTCAAGTTGACAATCTATATTAGCTACACGGATGCTGAAAATACACATTAGAGAGAAGATAGGCCCTTTAATAAACGTGTTGTAAAAAAGTAGATTTCTAGGAGTACAAGAAAAAAAATAGGTTCCCATCTTCTACCCTGTATGAGACTCCACTCCAAATGGACCAAAAACCTCAATATGGAACCTAAAACTCAAAAAACTGTTATAAGAAAAAGAAGGAGAAATCTTCATTATATGGGCATAGACAGCACATTCTGAATAGAGCTTTAGTTGCTTAGAAAATAATGGCAAAAATTCTCCAGGGGGATTCATGACATTACGAAGTTCTTCACAGCAAACTGTTAATCTAGTGACACCAGTCTATGAGACTGGAGGAAACCTTCCATCTCTATATCTAGAAGAAGAGTAATATCTAGCACACACAAAGGGCTGAAATAACTAAGCAACAAGAACTCAAGCAGCCCATC